AATTATAAGTATTTTTGAACAGGTACTTTAATTATTGTAAAAATACAAATTGCCTTTATTTCTTAGAGGATAATTCTGTTAAAAATACATAATAATATATAAATAATAAAAATATAATTAATCATATTGTTATAATCTATTCAGAAGATAGTTTGAACATAATAATAAATAATAATTGATTATCTCAAATAAATTAAGTAAATTTTATGTCTATAAAAAATAAACAAATATGAATCACTACACATGATTTGTTACAGCAATAATATATTATTATTATATGGAGGTATGACTGTTGTACCTTGGTTGGTCACATGATTTTGTTTGATTTTAATTGGTAGATCTCATTGGATTTTTATCTAAAGGATTAACAAATGATTTTTACTATTATGGAATCTAATAAAAAATATTAAAGATGAAAAAGCTTTATTATCATTCAAATCCGACTTCAAATTTTCCAATTTCACCACCATTACCATGTTTTTCAAATTTAAATGAAGCAAAGAAATGGAAACCTGAATTGGATGATGAATTGGATGAATTTAATATTGCAAGAATTGATTTGAATCCAAGGCCTAATTTTAATCAAAATAATCTTACACAAGATGAAAAAGATAAAGCAGATATTAAAGTTATTGTTTGTCATGATTATGCTGGTGGTATGTTTTCAAAAAAAATAGAATGCTAATACCAATGACAATAATGGATTATCATTTATCATTTATCATTTATTTATAAATTTATATGTAATATATGTTATATTTATTTTATATTATTAGGATATAAAGAGAATCATTTTGATCTTGGATATAGTATTCAATATTGGCAATATATTGATATTTTTATTTAGTAATTATCTTCAATTTAAATAATTGTTTTTTTTAAAAATAAATAAATAAAATTTTATTTCTAATTTGGTTAATTTTAGTTTTTCTCATCAAAGAATTGCAATTCCTCCATCACAATGGACCAATGCAGCTCATAGAAATGGAGTAAAAGTACTTGGAACATTTTTAACAGAACATGAAAATGACCTATTTGAAAATGATTTATTAGTATGTGGACCAAATAGTAATAATTATAGTGGTGGTGGTAATGGCAGTGGCAATGATGATAGTAATAGTAGAGGAATTGTTAGTACATATTTTGCTGATAAAATGGTAAAGATGGCAGAATATTATAATTTTGATGGATGGTTTATCAATATTGAAACAGAATTAATTGGTAAAAGTTTACATGCAAAACAAATTGAAACATTTGTAAAATATTTAACTGAAAAAATGCATCAACGTAAGCCAGGATCAATTGTAATTTGGTAAATTTATTTTTATTATTATTATTATTATTATTTTAGAAAATCTATTATTAAAATTTGAATTTATTATTTAAGGTATGATTCTGTAATAAAAGATGGAAGAATAAAATTTCAAAATTGTTTAAATGAATTAAATTATCCATTTTTTAATGCGGCTGATGGAATTTTTATTAATTATTTTTGGGAAGAGAATTATCCAAAATTATCAGCTGATAAAGCAGAACTTAGAAAAAGAGATGTTTACACTGGTATTGATGTATGGGGTAGAAGTACTTTTGGTGGTGGAGGGTAAGTAATGATTTATTAATTATCAATTATTAAATGATATTCTTATTAATTGAATTAATTATTATTTTATAGATTTACAACTTACAAGGTTCTTCATTTCTCTTAAAACATTTAACAGAATACCATCACTACTATCGTTACTTTTATTACGAGTTAATTAATCATGTATATTGTTAATATAGGCGTTAGAAGTAATTAAATCATCAAAAACTTCTTGTGCGATATTTGCACCTGGTTGGACTTATGAAAATTTTGGTAAAGATAACTTTTGGAGAAATGATCAAAGATTTTGGATTGGTAAAGCTGATCATAAATATGCCGAAGAAAATGATGATCATGATAATTTGCCTGATGAAGGTATAATAAATAAATAAATATTATTATTACTGTAATTGTGTTAATAATAATTTTATTTATTATTATTATTAGAAAAAAGAATTGCAGTTGCACATTACATAAAACCAAGATATGCACCAGGTTTAAAAAATTTTTATACAAATTTTGATAGAGGGTGCGGATATAAATTTTTTATTAAGGGAAAGGAATTTTTAAATCAAGAATGGCTTCATCTAAGTCATCAATCAATACTTCCATTGCCAACTAAATCAATAATTAATTTATTTGATGTTAATCATAATACTTTATTTTGGAATCTATCTTTTGAAAAATCATTTTCAGGAGGGTCATCACTTGCTTTAAATATTGCTAAAAATAATGATAATGTTAGTCATAATAATAGTAGTTTAAGTATTATTCCACTTTATGATTTAAATTTGAAAATTTTAGGCTTAACAAAAATCAAAGTTACTTATTCAATAGAACAACCAAATACAAATATTGGATTATATGTTAAGATAGGAGGAATAAATAACGAGGATAATGAGGATAATGATGGTAATATTACTCAAGTTGATGAGCTAGATAATGATGATAATTATAATTCAATAGATGATTCTTACCCTTCAATAATTTTGTTAAATAATAATAATAGTAAAGATATTAATATTAGCGATTATAAAGATTTTAATAGTTTTACTCCATCCTCATCAGCAATTAATTTAAAACAACAACCATTACTACGGAATCTTCAGCAAAAAAAGAAATCAATTGTTTTAAAGTCATTCAAGACAGTTTATAATTGGTGGACAACTGAATTAATTATTGATCCCAAACAATTATCCAATAACAATAAAGTTGATTATTATGTACAAGAATTAGGGGTTACATTTATGAATAATAATATTAGTGGTAGCAGAGAAGACGACAAAGATATGGTCGTTGCTTATATTGGTGAATTATCAGCAATAAATGTAATAAGTAACTCTATAATGAATACATATAAACAAGAGATTCAAAATATTTATATTCTAGAAAAATCTTTAATTATAGAAAAATTAGAATCCAAAAATATTTTACTAGTAAGTTGTTTAATTAAATGGGAGTTAGGAATTCAAACACAAAACGATTACACAATCAATAGTGGCAATAACAATAATAATTATGATAAAAAGTTATTAGATTCTTTTGATTATTTTTATGTTTATGCAAGTTCACAGCCCTCAATCGATTCAACATCACCATCAAATGATGACTTGGTATTTTTAGGTGTAGCTGATACAAATAAATTTATTGTTTCAGGTTATCAATTATCTTTGAATGAAATTATCATGAAAAAAAATTTTATTCTAAACTTTCATGTTAAAGGTATTAACAATTATTATGGCGAGGAAGAGGAGGAAGATAATAAAATATTTAATAAATGGAAATGTTGGGTTGATTTAAACTATTTTATTTATAATTAAACTGAATTATATATTTAAAAATTTAAAATAACAATAAAATAAAAAAAGTTATATTTGTTATATTTCTTATATTTCTTATAATTGATCAAATCTTATGTTACACGATTTCGAAGGATAAAATTTTTTTTTATAAGAGAGAAAATGCCACGCCCAGAATATCAAGCCCCACCTGAAATTGCAAGTATATTAGTATTATTTTTTAAATTAAAATCCTAAAATTTTGAATTTAATCATAATATATTCTTACATCCATTAGTATTATAATGACAATGAAGCAAAAAAATACACTTCAAAGTATGAAAAAAAATTTTTGATTAATAGGAAATAAATTCTCAATTACTAAATATTCAAATTACCATTATTATTTTTTTTTGAAAAAGTTCAAGGATTCAAACTATTCAAGCAGATATGGTAATAAATAATTGACATGTTTATACATATATACATATAGATCCTTTGATATATATTTCTAATCAATAGTCTTTTCTTTATATCTTATTTAAAAAAAGACATATAGAGCTCTTGAACTTTTAAATATTCCAGAGGGAAAATCATGCTTTTTATTAGATATTGGATGTGGATCAGGATTAAGTGGAGAGATATTGGAAGAAGAAGGTCATATATGGGTTGGAATGGACATTTCACCATCAATGTTAAGTATGTTTTTTTTTTTTCAATTAATTTTTCCAATGATTCAAATTAGTCAATATCTTATTGCAAATCTAAAATATTTTTATTTTGAATATAATATAGATGTTGCAATAGATCGTGAAGTTGAAGGTGATTTATTTTTACAAGATGTTGGTGAGGGAATGGGATTTCGTCCAGGAACTTTTGATGGGGCAATAAGGTACCGCTAACTATATAGAATCTATCATACACATAAAGATGATGGTGATGATGATAAATCATATTTTCTAATAAGTATTATTTGTTTTTAAAAATACAGTATATCAGTTCTTCAATGGCTCTGTAATGCGGATTACAAATCACATAATCCAAGGTCACGTTTAAATCGATTTTTCACAACCTTATATTCATCATTACATCGTGGAGCTCGAGCAGTATTTCAATTTTACCCAGAGAATGATGATCAATGTGAATTGATTATGAATATTGCAATGAGGTGTGGTTTCGAGGGTGGATTAGTGGTTGATTATCCTAATAGTAAAAAAGCAAAAAAATACTTTTTATGTTTAAGTGCTGGACAATCATCACTTGATTCTGAAAAACAACAATTACCGAAAGCTTTAGGCGAAGAAGTTTATGATGATGATGATGAACAAAAAATCAAAAGTGTTGCTTATTCTAGTCAAAGGTATTATTTCAAAAATCGAAATTTAATAAAATAATGAAAAAATTCATTAATTATTTAATTATTTGTCAGGATTCAAAATCATCAAAAAGGAAAGAAACGCAAATCAATTAAAGATAGAGACTGGGTTTTACATAAAAAGGAAATTGCACGTATGCGAGGGCAAAAACAAATACCAATTGACACTAAATATACAGGAAGGAAAAGAAATCCAAAATTTTGATAAATTTTTGTAAAATAATAATAATAATTACTATTATCAATGTTTTGATTATTACAATTAAATTAAATCAAATTGAACTTGCATCAGAGATGTTTTATTCTATTATTTGATGAAACAGTGAAATAACAGTGAAATGAACTTAAAATGTCAATACCGTGATTCATCTCAATTTTAATTTATACATAGTAAATATAAAATTTTGTTAAATAATTGTTATTATTCACGTGCCTCAGATTGACCAATTATAATCAGTGTGTACAGGCGATAAAAAATTTGATCTAAATGATTTATTAATATTAATAGATTTTATAAAATATAATTTTTTGATTAGATTACAATAATTTTTATATAATGAGAATTTCTGAAGTAAAAAGTACATCACGAGAGCAACGTATTGCTCCTCACACACATATAAAAGGTCTTGGTTTAAGAGTAGATGGTGTAGCAAATCGACAAGCAGATGGCTTTGTTGGTCAAGAATCTGCGAGAGAGGTTATTTATTATCATTATTTTTTGATATGTTTATATCCTTCACTTTTACAAAACTTCTGATTTATAATTGTTAGGCATGTGGAATTGTTGTAGATTTGATCAAAGCAAAAAAAATGGCGGGTAGAGCTTTACTTTTAGCTGGTGCTCCAGGAACCGGTAAAACAGCTATTGCTCTTGCTATATCTCAAGAATTAGGACCAAAAGTACCTTTTTGTCCTATGGTTGGAAGTGAAGTTTACTCCTCTGAAGTGAAAAAAACTGAAGTTTTGATGGAAAATTTTCGAAGGGCTATTGGTTAGTGTGTAAATGTCCTTATATTATATATGTACATGTATATTGAACTATTGAGCTATTTTATTGATATAACTTAGGATTAAGAATTAAAGAAACTAAAGAAGTTTATGAGGGAGAGGTTACAGAACTTACACCAGAGGAAACAGAGAACCCTTTAGGTGGTTATGGTAAAACATTGTCACATGTAATTATAGGATTAAAGACAGTAAAAGGAACAAAACAATTAAAATTAGATCCTAGTATTTATGAAAGTATACAAAAAGAAAGGGTTACTATAGGTGATGTTATATATATTGAAGCTAATACAGGAGCTGTAAAGGTAATGATTTTTTCTATAGATATATATTCTTGATTATTAGAATTAACAATATATAAAATATTTGATTATTATTATTATAGCGCGTTGGTAGATCAGATGCATATGCAACTGAATTTGATTTAGAAGCTGAAGAGTATGTGCCACTTCCAAAAGCCGAAGTACATAAAAAAAAAGAAGTTGTGCAAGATGTCACATTAAATGATTTAGATGTTGCAAATGCACGGCCTCAGGTAATTGAAATTTTTTAATTATTAATTGTCATAAATATATTAGTAAATTAATTTACTATTATTATTATTCTTGTTAGGGTGGACAAGATATAATGTCTATGATGGGACAAATTTTAAAACCTAAAAAAACTGAGATTACTGATAAATTAAGAAAAGAAATTAATAAAGTAGTTAATAAATATATAGATCAAGGTGTTGCAGAATTAGTCCCTGGTGTCTTATTTATAGACGAGGTATCCATTATATGGTTATTTATTTTACTCATACAACACATGTGATAATCGTTAAAAATTAATAAATTATAATGTAATAAATAATATTTAAGGTACATTTACTGGATATTGAATGCTTTTCATATCTTAACAAAGCATTGGAATCTCCTATATCGCCTATAGTTATATTTGCTACAAATCGTGGAATGTGTCAAGTGAGGTAATTATCAATTCCTTGGACGGTTGAATATTATATATATATTTCACATATTATATATATTTAATATAATTATAACAGAGGAACAGAGGATATTATTGCACCTCATGGTATACCAGTTGATTTACTTGACCGAATCTTAATTATACGTACAACAACATATTTATTGGAAGATATAAAGGCAATTGTCCAAATCCGAGCAAAAATTGAAGGCTTAGTTTTAGCAGAAGATGCTTTAAATTACATGGCAGAAACTGGTAGTAAAACTTCTTTAAGATATGTAATGCAATTGTTAACGCCTGCAAGTATTATTGCACGTACAAATGGTCATGATAACATCACTTTAAAAGATGTCAAAGAGGCTGATGATTTATTTTATGATGCCAAATCTTCTGCTAAAATTCTTGCAGGATACCAAGGTCAATGATTTTGTTTTTTATTGTTAGCATTATATAATATAAAATAAATCTATAGATCTTTATCAAAATCAAATTGCTGGCGATTTATTCAATGATTTTATTGTTTTCAATAATTTTTAGCACTAAAGAGAAATTCATTCAAAATTCAGATTCATCATGTTTATTTAGTGTTACGACCCGTTAAGACCTTATCCGGTAATTGACGGATTACCGGGTTGTAACGGGTTAACGTTAAAGAAAATTTGCATAACGGGTTGTTAACGGATTACGGTTAGCTTATTGTTATTATTATTAATATTAATATGAAAATTTAATCGGAATCTGTTTAATTGGTTATTTATAATTAGTTATACTTTAGATTAAAAATGCAATGAATACATTGAGTGTATTAAACCATTATATTAAAAATTCCATGTTGTAGTATGTGAAATTTATTTTCGGATGTTTAAAAATAAATAAATATCCAGATTTCTAAACGTGATCGCCACCGCTTGGAGGTGAAGAAGTAACATTTAGAAGTCCAGTTGTAAGAGCATTGAAACCAATGCAATTTATAAACGAAGATCGAATAAAACATATACGAGGAATTGCATAGTGTATATTTTTTACTACAAATTTTCTATAATCTAAGTTTTTCTTGATTGAATGAACGATTAATTTATTTATATTAGGTGTTGTACAAGGGTTTCAAAATGTTAATAGGATGGCAGATCGATTCTAAATAGATATATTCCTGATATTTATATTTATACTGATGTTTACAAGGGCGAAGAGTCTGGAAATTAAGTAAATACTACGCTGTTTTATCAACTCAATATTTATCTATGTGTTCCAGTTTCCTAATAGGCTTATTATCGTTATAGATCGCCAGGTTTTGCGCTGTTGTTGGTTGTAGAATCAATCACCGGAGCTCTAATGTTGGCAGAACAAGCGGCAAATCCTGGAAAAACACCAGAAGATATTGGGCTTAGAACTGCAAAACTTTAGGTGTTATGAAAATGATTGCATTGCATATAGAGTATTAACTTGATTTTTAATGTTATTGTAGACATAAATTGTGAAATGTAGCTTTGTTTTGCAGAAATGAAAGATAGAAGTTAAGACAAACCAAACCTTCTTGAATCTTTATTATTGAAGAAAAAGTTAAATCAATTGGCTTTGTAAGATAGCATATGTCAAATTTATTTTACAGATAATGGATGTCAAACAACTCTTAAAGGTTTAATTGGGGTCTGATTCATTTCGTCGACAATCACTTCGTCGACAATCATTTCATCGACAATTATTTCGTCGAAAGTTCATTTCGTCGAAAGTTTGTTTCGTCGAAAGTTCATTTCGTCGAAAGTTTGTTTCGTCGAAATTATTTCGTCGACAGTTCATTTCTACAACAATTCATGTTAATTTGCATGTATTACCAATTATGTTTGGGAGAACGTGAATTAATTGATGATAACAATTGTTTATTATGTTTATGTGGAATAGTTTTACTAACATATTAGTTGAATTGGTGGATAATTTTGGTTTTAAATGTTTATTTATTTTATTTAGTCGAAACTAATTAAAGATTTAGAGCTATGTTTTAAC